AACTTGGGCTTCATGCATGGTGTTTTCATAGTATGTGTCTCCGTGGGCTTCGTGAATATCACTCATACTTGAGGCAGTCCAGCTTTACAAAGGAAAGAGGTTTATTTATTTTGACTCACAGTTCAGCAAGTTACCAAACTAGGGGTGGGGACTGTTGGTTTGGCCTGCAGCGACAGTGTTCTTGCTGACGCAGGACACCCCAGAGAGAGAGATAGGAAGGGTGTGCATCCGCCTTTATCTCTCTCTCTCCTTTTAAAGCTGCTGGAAACCACTTCAGGGCCCAATAGCCTCATCCAGTCTGATCCCCCATCAAGGACCCTGCCACTAAGCACCATAGTTAGATTATGTTTCCACCCTCTTGGCACCATTAGCAAGACCTCTGGGACTAACATGCAAAAGTTCACAGGATTAGAGACTTGGATCATAGCTGATGACCCTGTCACATAGGTGAGGCAGAGCCCGGCTCTGTCCCACCCTTAGCTTTGTCCTTACCTGGGTTCTTTCACTAAGAGACACCAACTATAATGTTAAGTCTCACTAGGAGTTTACCTCTTGCCTCTGTTTCTGAGAAAAGGATGACTCTCAGCATTTCGGAGTAGGAAACGAAGCAGGCAGAGGGAGCTGACTTTGATGATTTTAATATCCTCCAGCGACTTTGCACATTGTGGTTTTCTGTGGCAGGGTGCCACGTCACTGACCAGTGGAACTACCGGATGTCTATTAATTCTTAATTGTGGGCATCCTGCAAGCCTAGCCTGGAAGGCTGTTAAAAGCTGGAAGTTGTATTTCCAGGACAGGTTCTTGTGTCTTGGAAGGAGTCTCCAGCTTCCTGCTTCCCAGGGAGCGTTGAGGCTGGATCGCGCCCAGCACCCCTTGCCTGAACCAAGCCAGTGCCTTTGCTTGCAGCATCCCAGCCATCTGCAAAGGAGCAGGGATTGCAGGTCCATGCCTTCACTGTCAGTGTAGCTCCTTTGGAGAGGGCGTCCTCCTTGGGCCTTGTGCTTTCACGCTTGAACCTCAGAGAGGTGGAGAAGAGAGGGTGACTGTGACAGACTCCAGAGAGAAGCCAGCATCCACGGGTGATTTCTCGAGCCAGTCCCCCCATCTTTATGGAAACAGCACTGTGCCATGGCCTCGAGGACTGCGGTGTCAGCTGCAGCGGCAGAGGGAGGAGCAGGAGGTGGTTCCTGGGCCTCGTGAGCTGCTGGCAGTCTGGAAAATTGAATTTGAAGCCTGACATTGAATCCTTTGCCAGAATGGAAATGGAATGAAATTTCACTCCTTTCCAGATGATGTCTTCTAAAGAGGTGATGTGGCTGCCCCAAATTTTCTGGCAACGCCCCCCTTGCCCGGGTGCCTCTTCTGAGTCCCCTTGGGATCCTTTCTGCCATGAGGTGCTGTTAAGCCGCATGTTCCCCCTAGGTCATGCCCTAGTGAAGAATTAGGTTTCTTCTGTCTGCAAAATGCTGCTGACCTTGAACGCTGCAGCCTAGAAATGAGAGTGCCTGTAATACAGGCGGCCCCTATGTCTGCCCTGCAGTCAGTGCCTGCTGCTTGCAGACAGGGTATGGCAGGGCAAGCCCCTCCCACATCAGGGCCCTGCTCATGGCTAAATCACTCATCCACACTCAAGTGGCTGGTCCCAGTGATGCCATCGCTCACCTGTTGTTTTGGGGCCAGGGAGGTAGCCAGGCCGGGTCTGAGCACAGGCCCAGACCCCTCATGGGCTATGCCACATTTGAGCCCACCAAGTGAGGAAACCCATGACTGTCTCGTAAGGTGCCACAGGTGTGGTGAGGGCGCCCCACTGAGGCTGCAAGTGTACCCACTGTCTGTGACAGTCTCTGAGAGTTCAAGAACTCCATTCTCCCCTTCCAGAAATAGGGCCACATCTTTGGACACAGACAGGGCACTCTTCAAAGTGCTAGCTGCAGAGCTGTGATCTTGTTTGTTTTTGTTTTAGTGTTTCTGTCTAATAAGACAGATGTGTTCCTAAAAATAGACATTAAACAAAAAGCAGACAACAAAAACAGCAAGGACTTTGGAGAAAAACATAGTTGTGGTCAGCATTCAAAAGTCTACAACTTCTGCGGGAGTTGCATCAGGACACGGTGGGCTGAGCTGCAGCTAATGGTACTGGTATTCTATTTGAACGTGTTTTCTAGTCCTGGCTGCATCACTTCCGATCCAGCTCCCTGCTTATGGCCTGGGAAAGCCATGAAGGATGGCCCAAGTGCTTGAACCCCTGTACCCATGTGGGAGCTGTGGGAGAAGCTCCTGGCTCCTATTCTGGCTTGGCCAAGCCTCAGCCATTCGGATCATTTGAGGAGTAAACCAGCAGGTGGATGGCAAGTGGTGGAGACTGGCCCAAGTACTTGAGTACCTGGAACCCTTGTGGGAGACCCAGATGGATTTCTTGGCTCCTGACTTCAGCCTGGACCAGCCCCACCCTCTGTGGCTGGCCATTTGAGGCATGGCTCAATGGATGGAAGATCTTCTTTTCGATCATTCTGCCTTTCAAATAAATAAATAAGACGTTTAAAGTAAATGGAGTTTACAGCCTTGGAGTGGGCATGTAGCCTGCAGATGAGTTACCTGTGTCCCACATCTCAGACCTGGATTCAGTTCTCAGCTTGCTGCTAATGCAGATGCTGGGAAGCAGCCGTGGTCAGTTTCCTGAGACCCACGTGAGGCACCTGGATTGCATTTGCTGCTCCCAGTCCCTGGCTCTAGCCCCAGGCCAGGCCAATGTAGGCATCTGAGGCGTGAACCAGCAGATAGGGGAGAGTTCTCTCTCTCTCTCAAAATTTATTTTTTTGTTGTTTTTTTTCTCTCTCTCAAAATTTAAAAAAAAAATGATAGTCCTCATAGTAATGATACTGATGGAGTTCAAAAAAATGTGTTTTATTCCTGCAGCTCAAATCCTGACAGACACAGGACTCCACAGACACATGTGTGTGCACAGGGAGCTCCCTGGGCGGAGATGTGTGTTGGTAGGCTCAGGCCTGCAGAATGCACTGATCAGAGCGAAAAGGCTGGGGAGAGCTAACTGCTCAGCAGTTCCCAGACAGCATCAGACCAGATGGACTCTGGGGAAACAGGGTTCCGTTCTTCTCCTTCCACTGCCTTCAGCTTGTCCTTGTGTGTTTGACGCTGACCACCTGTTCCTTCAACAGCAGCATGCTGGGAAGACGCACATGAAGCACATGCAGTTTCTAGGCTAACAGGACAGGGGCTGGTGCTGTGGCATAGTGACTAAAGCTGCTGCCTGCGGTGCTAGCATTCCATATGGGTTCTGGTTCATGTCTTAATTGGTCCACTTCCGATCCAGCTCCCTGCTTATGGCCTGGGAAAGCCATGAAGGATGGCCCAAGTGCTTGAACCCCTGTACCCATGTGGGAGCTGTGGGAGAAGCTCCTGGCTCCTATTCTGGCTTGGCCAAGCCTCAGCCATTCGGATCATTTGAGGAATAAACCAGCAGGTGGATGGCCTGTCTGTGTAAATGCTGCCTTTCAAAAAAGAACATTGATTGCATTCAAAGGGATTTGCCTTCCAGATACCCCAACTGACAAATAAGCCTGTGCTCATCCTGCTGACTGGGAGCCTAAAATAGGAGACATTGGTTTTTGTGTGTAGAGTTTGTGTATATGTGTATTGGAACCATAACATAAAATTTACCATCATAGGGCCAGGCTAGTGGCTAACGTCCTCGCCTTGCATGCACCAGGATCCCATATGGACAACAGTTCTACTTCCGGCTGCTCCACTTCCCATCCAGCTCCCTGCCTGTGGCCTGGGAAAGCAGTCAAGGACAGCCCAAAGCCTTGGAACCCTGCACCCAAATAGGAGACCTGGAAGAGGCTCTGGGCTCCTGGCTTCAGATCGGCTCAGCTACTTGCACTTGGGTCAGTGGATGGAGGATCTTCCTCTCTGTCTCTCTTCTCTGTATATCTGACTTCCCAATAAAAATTAATATATCTAAAAAAATAATTTGCCATCCTAGCCACTTTTAAATGCACAATTCTGCTGTATTAAGTATATCCACCTCATGAAACAGACTTGCAGAACTTTCTCATCTCAGAAAAAACTTTGTACCTATTGGACCTGGGTTCTCCTCTCCACCTTGGCCCCCAGTGTCTGCCCCCTCAGGAGAAGGGCTCCTTGTTCAGGAATCGGACTACTGCAAAGCTGTGTGTCAGGGAAGCCACGCAGCCCTTCGCTTCCTAGGCCTGAACTACTGCACAGAACCCAACATTCTGAGTTCATTCATGGCATAGCATGCCTCCAAATCTTATTTAAGTCTCAGACCCCTCAAAGGAAGCCTTGTTGGCTCCAGGTTTACCTGGACAATATTGGGTATGGGGGTTAGGTTGCAGGGTGGCAGGCCTGCAAAGAAAGAAAGACCCTTTTTGTGCTGCTCGACTTCTTGTCATGTGACTCTCCCAGGTTGTTTCTGGAAGTTTCTGAGCTTGAATTAACTGCAGATGGCAAAGACTCCAGGTCAGGCAACATTACTCAACAAGGAAGCCATGCCACCTCTCCCAGGAATGTGTTTCTTTGTTAGAATTCTTTCTTTCTCTCTCTCTCTCTCTCTCCCTCTCCCTCTCTCCTTTCCTCCCTCCCTCCTTTCCTTCCTTCCTTTCTTTCCTTTTTTTTTCTCTAAGATTTATTTTTATTGAAAATTCAGACTTACCAGAGAGGAGAGACAAAGATCTTCCATCCATTAGTTCACTCCCCAAATGGCTGCAATGGCCAGAGCTGAGCCAATCCAAAACCAGGAGCAAGGAGCTGCTTTTTCCATGCAGATGCAGGGTTCCAAGGCTTTAGGCCACAAACCTGGAGCTGGATGGAAAGCGGAGCAGCTGGTACACAAACCAACAGCCATATGGAACGTCACGCTTGAAGGTGGAGAATCAGCCAGTTGAGGTATCACGCCTGCCTAGGAGCACATTCTAATACTGCAGAGTCTTTGAAACTCACGTTGCCATCTTCTGTTCCAGAGAGCTCAGGCCTACGCTCAGCAGGTCTTACAAAAGGAATGCCGTCCCAAGTTCGCCAAGACATCTATGGCCCTGTTATTTGAGCACGGGTACAGCGTGGACCTGCCGCCTTTCGTGCAGGAGACTCCGCAGGAGAATGAAGCTATATACAAGTTCGATCCTCCTTTCGGATTCCGAAAGTTCTCCAGCAAAGTCAAGGACCTTCTAGAACTCCTGCCCGAGCACAACTTCCCTGAGCACTTGAAAGCCAAGCGTTGCAGGCGGTGTGTGGTAATTGGAAGTGGCGGGATACTGCATGGACTAGCGCTGGGCCATGCCCTGAACCAGTTTGATGTTGTGATAAGGTGAGTACCTTGCTGCCTTCCTCTTGTAGAATCTGGTTCACCGCTAGGGGTCAGGACTGCTCTGGGGGACAGGAACACAAGGAAACTTCTTGGCTCCTGCCTTCCAGGAACCTACTGTTGGATAAATTCAAAACAAAATGCTTGGATGCCCCAAACCCTGTGTTAGATTTGAGGAGCAGGTGCAAATGGACTGTTGTAACAGGTAGACCCTTTTCGGGGGATGGCAGGTTTAGAAGGAGGGATAGATTGAAGGAGCCAGTGAATGTGGTTGGTGAGCTCAGCAGGGACATGCTGACTTGCTGGAAAACCAAACCGAGGAGGATGCCAAGCTATTGGAGGGCAGGGGCTGAGCGCTGCTTTGCACACTGACTTTATTCACTGTTCCGGTGAGAATTTCGTAAGTTACCATCCCTGGGACTGCTGGGCACCCAGGATGTGTCGCATGTTTTTTATTTGTGTGAAATGCTTTGCGTTTTCTCATTCACATAATTTTCTGTACCTCTCCGATCATCTCGTTGGAACGTTCCTGAGAATAGAAAGGACTGTTGGCTTCGGGTTATCTGGATGCTTTTTGGGAACTTGATACATGGACATAAATCCCATCTCTGTGTCGAGATGTGCGAGCCAGGAACGTGGGACAGCTGTGTCTTGGCTCAGTTTGGCTGGCTGTAGCATGTGGGTTGATTGAAGGCAGGAAGGAGTAGGGGCGGGTCCTGGGCTTTCACAGGATGTTGTGATCAGGGCATGGTGTGTGGGCCTGTGGCTGACCCAGAAAGTGAAACCTCAGAGGGCTGATAACAGGAGTCAGGAGGCCCCAGGATTGCTAGTCTGGGTGCAAGGCCCTATTCAAACAGCTGCTGGAAATGAGTGACAGAGAAAACTCTCTAGTTAGCAAGGGAAGTCACAGGACCTGCTGAAACACCCTGAGCTTGAACATGACAGTTTGTTCACCTAGTGCTTCTGTCCCCAGTAACTGGGATGTGGAGCATGTTTTGTCCTGCACCTGTTTTCCTCCTCTGTAAAGTGGAAGCAGTAACAGTACATCCCTCCCAGGTTCCCTGTGAGTTCACCAGCTGCCAAGCACTGAGATAGGTCAGGATGATAATAGAGGCTCAGCAGGTACCCATGACTGTTTCTGGAGGAGATACCGGAAGCCAGGGATACGATACGAGAGTGACAGAGGATGTAGCTGTTTTCAGGAGAACCAGGCTTTTGTAAGGTGCGTACTATAGAACAGGTGAGAATGCTGCGTGCATGTGGTGAGCCGTCCCCGGGCTGCCTGGGCTCCAGGGGCTGCTCCCTTAGGGATGAGTACACCGAGGGGGAAGGTCTCGGGGGCCTGGGCAGGGCCCACCTGCCGCCACCATTGGGCGAGGGATAGTATTGGGGAGGGCGCGACCTTGGGCCCGGGGCTTGAAACTTCCGGCAGTCTGCTGGCTGCTGGTCAGTGCCAGGCCAGGGCGTCTCATGCTCGGATCCCTGATTCCAGCCACCATGTACATGCGGTAAGCTGTGCCCGGGCGGCATGCACCATTTGGTGCCAGGCTCCGCCTGCTGGCCGCCCAGCCAATAGCTCTGGGGTTTTGGTTCTTTGAATCGCTGCTTAGGTAGCTCCACGTTGAACCCACTGTGCTTCTCGGATGTGAATCAATCCTAAAGATTCCTAATGACAGAGTAACTTTTCCTTTGAAGAACTTGTAATCACTGAACAATGCTGACCACCGAACACCAATCCATGCAAAACCAAAGACTAGGGCTTGTCTTACAGGATCATATCCTATTACCTGACATGATGGTGGATCAGGGGATGGGTCACATTAGGCAGGGCCACGACATTAACCAGCACGCCAGAGAACCACATCCAGGGGTAGATTCTGTGGGGGATGTGTGGGCCAAACCCTGTGGAAATTCTAGCCCCGCTGGTTAGTTCAAGAGATGGTGTGGTGAAGGACTAAGCTAGGTGTGACCAAGGAGCCTACCATCAATCATAGGTTAAGGAACTGACTACAGTCTGGACTGGTCAAGGCAGCAGCACCCGAATGTGCAACCTGAATAAGGTCTGGGGTGAGCTGGGCTGCAATATTTACCAGCTCATACAAGGCCAAATAGAAGGCCAGACTGTGCCGGGCACTGGCCTAAAATGCAATGGCATGTATGTAAACTGGGTCTGGGAGTGGATCGAGTGGAGGAACTTGGGAAACTCCCCTGGCGGGTCATAGCTCTTGCTGGTGAACATGTGGCCCAGACCTGGGGGTCAGACAAGCTGGGCAAAGTAGCTCCAACAGCTGGCCAATGTGTGAATTGGTAATGGAACAGGATGTACCAGGCAGGACTGAGCACACAAACCTTAGCTCACAAGCAAAAATAGAAACCAGGATGGAGCATAGATCATGCCGAGCTAGGCTCTTGCACCTACTGGTCTGCGTGAGCCAGGGATGCTAAGCCACAGCATCTAAGGCAGGAGACGGGACAGGTGAGGGGCTGTGCCAAGTTGAGTCAGCAACCACTGGCATGCGCATGATCTATGGCTGGGAACAGGCTCGGTTGGGAAGCAAAGGCGACACCCTAACTGGGTTAAGGTTCCCACCAAGGGGCTCATGGGCTGGAATGGGGGCTGCGTTCCAATCAGGATATAGTTGTAGTCTCCCTTGGCACAAGTATGGACTGGAACTGAACACACCAAGCCAGGCCAGACTCCAACACGTTCTGGTGTTCTGGAGGACAAGAGTAGATGTGGGACTGACTAGGCTAGGTCTCAACCCCTACTGAGCCATGTATGAGCTGTATGTGGGTATGCACGAGCCGTGGCTGGGCTTAAACATCCAACAGTAAGAACCAGATTGGGCTGAAGGCCAGTCAGGAAAAGCCACTGTTCCTGCTAGGACAGGAGGTGAACTGAGTAGGGCTGGCTCATGGAGCCCCTGGTATGCACAAAATCTGGCATTGGGAGAGGTTCTGATGGAGGAGCCTGGGCAACTCCTCTGGCAGGACACAGACCTGGCAGGTAAACGCAAGAAGCATGATAGGAAACAGCCCGGAACAGGCCATGGAAAGTTTCCCACTGACATACATTTGGCATGGCTTGGGGGCAGACCAGGCTGAATCAGTTCACATCATCCACTGGTGAATCTGAGCACCAGAACAGAGTGTGGGTTGAGCCAGGTTCGGTCGTGACAAAAATCAGTGCACAATACTGAATGCCAAGGTGAGGCTACCTGTACTGGTTGTGACTGCAGCGCCCAACCAGCACAGAACCAGAAAAGGAGGGGAAAGGAGCCAGCAAGGGGAATGTGGGGGGGGTTCCCTTGCTGAACAGCTACTCCCACTGGAGAATGTGAGCTGGGATGGGGGCAGACCAGACTAGGCAGGGCTATAACACCTGTGGGCCTCATGTGGACTAGATCAGGGAAAAGCCAGGCTGGGCTGATTGTTCCTACTGGTGCAAGCATAAATTAGGGTGAGGGTTGTGTGGACTTAGCCGCAGCATCAGCTGGCAGAAGCTGGCACTGGGGGCTAATTCTGTAAAGTCAAACCACAGAACCACCTGGAGAGTGCATAATCCAGGAGTGGGAGTGGCCTAGGAGGGAAATAGTGGGCTCCTCCCTCCTGGGTTACCACTCCCACTGGAGGGCAGGAAAACTAGGACAGGGGCTGGGGTGGTTAGACAGAGAGGCACCCAACAACATCCGTGAGGGCTGGATAATTGAGCTGGTTAGATGGAACTAAGCTTTAATACCATTGACATGTATGAGAGCAGAAGGGGATGTGGGACAGACTGCACTAGTCTGCTACACATACTGGCAAACCAGGGTAGGGGGCAGGCCTGGTGGGGGTTATTGTGGGTCACTCCGACTAGGTTGTAGCTCCCACTGGTTTATGTGAGGGCCAAGTATGTGCTGGGCAGAACCAGGCTGGACTGCAGCACCCATTGGTTCCAATGGAAGATGGGGCTGAAAACAGAACCAAAGCAGCAATTGCAACCACCAGCTGATCAGGGCAATGGACTGGGCCGGGCCCTTTGCTTGCTAGTACATACAGGAATCTGGTCTGGGAACACCTCAGACAAAGTTTCTTTGGGGATCCCCCCAATAGAACTGCTGGACTCAGAACCCTAACCATGAAAAGACAACCACCTCAGCTATATGTTGGCAGCAAAATACTGGACAAATGGAGACTCTATGAAGGACTATGTTAATCAGTGGATTCTCCAACAGCCTCATCATGCTTGGAGTGGAGAGATTGGCAGCAATTCGTAACTGTTGAACTATCAAAACCGCTTGAGCAAGACCCTTGGAGCATAACCCACATCAGGGATCTGGGGTGGGTGGGGGACTGGGTGGGGCTTCTCCCTTAAAATCCTCTTTTGCCTCAGATATATGAGGGAAACAATATGGAGATAATAGTCTTACCCATTTTCCTGTAGCCCTTGAACCTTTTTACCCTAATTAACTATGTAAAGATTGTCAAAAATATAATTTAAAAAATGGAAAAAGTTAAAAAAAAAAAGAACAGGTGAGAATGGAGTTTGATGGCAGAAAGGGTGCAGGGATGGGGGTGGGGGTGGGGTTGGTATGGGGGATTGGGATTTAAGGGGTCACCAAGATCGGAGTGGTGGGGATTTGGCAGCTGCCTTTCACTGGGTGTTCTTAGAGAATCCCCAAAGGTTACTGTACAAGGGAGGACTGACTTGTATCAGGACCAGGCGAAATTGCCTTGGCATTCAGGGAGCACGTGTGGGCATCATCCATCATGTAAATTGCATTCCTTGAACACCTGGAAAGGACAGAGCTGTGTGGGGCAGTAAGATTGCGAGTCATGGGCTGGCCCGCACCACAGCCTCCTGCTCACTTCTAGTCCTAGAGGATGTAGGACGGAGCGTGCTGTGACGCCTGCCCTGTCAGCCTGTCCTTTGTGCTTTCTTTCTGAATAGACTGAACAGTGCACCCGTGGAGGGATATTCTGAGCATGTTGGAAATAAAACTACCATCAGGATGACCTACCCAGAGGGCGCACCGCTGTCCGACCTTGAATATTATTCCAACGACTTGTTTGTTGCTGTTCTGTTTAAGAGTGTTGACTTCAACTGGCTTCAAGCAATGGTGAAAAATGAGACCCTGGTAAGCACTGGAAATTCATGCAGGAATGAGTCTCAGTACAAAGTGACAGAATCCACACTTACTGTCTTTAATTTCTAGAGATTTCAGCTTTGTGTTTGAAATGGCCACTACTGACTTTGTACAAACCCCTCAGCAGCGCTTGCTTTGTGGCTTTCGAAGCCTGATTGTAAGTCACGAGAGAAAGTAGTAATGGCGACTGCCTGGAAATAGCAAGCTTGGGAGCTTTTTTATCACCCAGGTTTGATTCTGTCTGGGTTATCAGGGACTTCCGGACTGTCAGAGAGAAGTTCCCTTAGGAAAAAAGCAGCACACAGGGACAGACGTGGATAGAGGATGCACAACCAGGGCTGGGTGGGGTTTCCTCAGCACTTCAGTACCCTTGAATAGACCCATGCACATGGTCAGCCCTGAACAAAATGGTGGCTGTGGATCCTAGCAAAGTTCCCACCGTTCCTCTCCTTGTTCAGGGCTGCTTTTGTAAATTGGATCTCTCACCATTGCTCTTTGGAGTTAAGGTCAAGGATTTACATAGCTTCTGCGTGATGCTGATTTAGCTGCAGAGCACAAGGCCGCATAGGATGATGTTTATAATCTGGGCCTGATCGGTAGGGAGTACTTTAGGACCCTCTGCTGGTAACTCTATTAAATAACCCTAATGATGGTTTGCCTTCTTTGCTTAGCCATTTTGGATACGAATCTTCTTTTGGAAACAAGTGGCAGAAAAAATCCCACTGCAGCCAAAACATTTCAGGATTTTGAATCCCGTGATCATCAAAGAGACTGCGTTTGACATCCTTCAGTACTCAGAGCCTAAATCCTGGTTCTGGGGCCAAGATAAGGTAGTTCTGTTGCTACTGGAAGGTAGCTCTTGTTCTCTGTGCTGGAAGGGAGCTGTGCGCGAATGTGACTCAAACCCTGCTGTGTATGCAGGAGACCTAGTCGTGACTAGATGCTGCGTGTGTGGGTACCACTGTGCACCCCAGCTGTTCACACAACCTTATTGGATTCTGTATTGCCATCAGCATGTTGACACTTATGCCCTTGAGATATTATTTAAGACAGTCTTACTCCAGTTTAACTGCAGGACACTTGTGGTCTGAAAAGCTCTTTACCTTTGAACCCGATAGGTGGTTTGAATGAGAATTAATGCACATCACCTCTTTGTAGATGATATTAAACAAAGTCAACAAGGCTGTTCAGTTGATGCCTGTGTACTGATTTAGTTGGTTTGTGCTTTAGAGTTTTTCAAAACTCCCTGAGTGATTTTATTTTGCAGTCTAATTTTTAAAAAGCATGTTGCAGGTGTTCATTGCTAGAAAAGCAAATGGGGCGGGGGGGGGGGAGACCTTAAGTGGATCATAGCTGCTGGTGGGGAGCAGGGGTCCTGTACCTGAGGATGCTGTATTCCCAGGTGGGGATGGGTTCCAGAAACCGGATATGGCCACTTGTCCCAGACCTCAGGGCCATCTGACACAGGAGGTGGGGGCAGCAGGCTGGTGACTGCCTATCCTGGGTAGGACCAGTGGGTGGAAAGTTTCAAAGAATCACCTGTCGGTTGGGTACAGGAAGAACCGTCAGGCTGCCTCTTAAGGGTGCGCTTAAAGCATCCATATGCCAGACTGTGTGCCAGAACTCTAAATGCACGTCCCCCATGGAGAGTTAGGGCCTGCAGAAAACCACAGCCCCAGGGCAGCCTTGGTGACTGCTCGGTGCAGATGGTCCTCACAAAGCAGTGAATCATGCTCAGCCATCTCTCTCTCTCTCTCTCTCTGGCCTCTCTCTCCTGCCATCAGAACATCCCGACGATCGGTGTGATTGCCGTGGTCCTAGCCACCCACCTGTGTGATGAAGTCAGCCTAGCAGGTTTCGGCTACGACCTCAGCCGGCCCCAGGCACCCCTGCACTACTTCGACAGTCAGTGCATGGCTGCCATGAACGGGCAGAGGATGCATAACGTGACCACAGAAACCAAGTTCCTGATGAAGTTGATCAAAGAGGGCGTGGTGACAGACCTCAGCGGGGGCATCCACTGTGAATTCTGAACACACTCAAACACACGACCAACCTCACTTGGAAACGCAGCCCGGGCCCAGGCTGTCCTCAATAACCTTTCTCCTTTCTCCTTGCATTTCATCCTGCAAACACTTGAAAGTGCAGCTGGTGTTTTTAAACTTGGAGTTAAGGCAGAAAGCATTTAGCTCTTCCTGCTTTTTTTTTTCTTTTTTACTATTTATTGGAGGTCAGTGTTGTTTTTTTGCACAACATTTTGTAAATTAAGAATGGAATTGAAAAGACATCCAAGAGAATTGTGTGGGGTACAGTTCTCTTGTATTTTAAGAGAGTAATTTAATTTGTTAAAAAAAAAAAAAAGAGAGAGAGACCCATATACACTGCACACCCACTACCAGGTGGCTAAGGGGAGCAAGGCAGGGCGTTCCTCCTGTGCTGACAGAGCCGATTGTGCAGTTCTGGATCCCTGCCACTCTCGCTGTTGGAACCCACGGAAGCCCTTTTAAAAAGGAAGATATGACTAAGCCACCGGCAGCTGTGATGGGGCCTGAGCCCATCAGACAAGTTCATGGCCCCTCTCTGGCTCTGCTGGCCAACTCCGGCGGTCGGCTGGGGAAGCCTTCCTGGAGGGACACAGAAGACACCCCGAGTGCTGTGAAGCTGCCCCGAGTGGCAGCAGCCCCCGTCTTCCCAGCAATGATGCCAACTCTGAAATTCGTTGGTGAATTTTTTTTTTCTGCCCTCGCAAAGCACTTGAGTGTTGGTGAAGGTGTTTAAATGTTGGATGTGTGATTCGAAAGACGAAGACTCAACTTCAGTTATGCAGAATCACGGCAGCAATTTTGTTTTTCCCCAGGGAAAATGGTCACATTTACTGAAACACCGAAATGAAATTATGCCCATGTTACAAATTGCCTATTTAAAGTGAAAAAGTTGTGTGTTTTTTTTTATTTTTTAATATCTGCCTGGCAGTGTGTACCAGGCAGTGTGTCCATTGGGAAAAAAGTAAAAAAAAAAAAAAAAAAAAAAAAAATAAGGAAAAAGAAATAAAAGCTTTGGAGGAATCTTACCGTCTGGTTTGTTGAGTACTTGTTGATTGATTTAAGGAAAAAGATCCACCTGACTGTCCTTTGGTGCGGCATTCTGACACCTCACTGTGGGTGCCAGCAGTGAGCGACACCTTGTCCAGCAGCGATTCCTGGTCCTGCCAGCTGCTGAATCCACTGCTGTGGGCAGCGGTGCTCTCCGCAGGGCACTCTGTCTGCTCTGAGTGTCTATGCCCCATGATGTCCCCAGCTCAGTCCCTCCTCCCTACATGGTCCTGCCTGTCCTTGCTCTCCTGGCCCCACCTGCACGCCTCGTGGCCCGCATCCCCACCCCCACCCCATGCTGCCTGTGAGCTGATCCCCCAGCCCACTCAGTCTCAACCCCTCTGCTTCATCCTCAGCACTGGCAGGATGAAGAGCCAGGTCCTGGCGGTCAGCACAGCAGCTCTCCCACCTCCCAGGACTTGGGGTCCTGCTCAAGAGTATTTCTCCAGTATGGCGTCTTTTCCTAAAATTCTCTGTGAATTCTGCCTTCTCCCCTCTAAAATACTGTTTGTTCAGGAAAAGACTGAAAATCTTCAGCAAGTGAATGATTTCGTTTTGATGAAGGAAACTCAGGAAGATGGTCCACGTCTCCCTCCCCGCCCCGGTGGCTTGGGGCACACAGGCAGCTGCTTGCTGCAGGGGGCGCTCCTCACTGGCCCCATGGACAGGTCCCATCTGCCTGGGATGATTGCTGGGGTGTGTGGGGACAGCAGCACCCCCACCAGCTCAACGTCCAGCAGCCCCGCCCCTCTCCAGCCCAGCCCCTTGCCTTACATGTCCTTTTGTCCTTTCTGTGGTTCGGCCTCTGTTGCTTGAAATGTTCCGGAAGCTAGGATGCAGACATCAGGATGTGGCACCCATCAGGTTGTGGCAGTCATGAGGAGCCCTGAGCAAACACCAAGGTGTACACTTTTTATACCCTAAAGCAGTCCAGCAGTGGGCATTTTACGTTCAATCGTTGGCAGTTTCTTCTTTGCTTCAGAGTTGTTCACTCTAGTAACACCTGCAGCTCTAAGAAAATAGAACCTCTCTCACAGCTTGGTATAGGTCCTAGGGCACACACGGCCTTTCTTCTGGTCTCTAATCTTTTTTTTAAGATTTTTATTTATTTATTGGAAAGTCAGATATACAGAGAGGAGAGACAGAGAGGAAGATCTTCCGTCCGATGATTCACTCCCCAAGTGAGCGCAACGGCCGATGCTATGCAGATCCGAAGCCAGGAGCCAGGAACTTCTTCCGGGTATCCCACATGGGTGCAGGGTCCCAAGGCTTTGGGCCGTCCTCGACTGCTTTCCCAGGCTACAAGCAGGGAGCTGGATGGGAAGCGGAGCTGCTGGGATTAGAACAGGCGCCCATATGGGATCCCAGGAGTGCGTTCAAGGTGAGGATTTTAGCCGTTAGGCCACGCCACCAGGCCCTAATCTCTCTCTCTCTTTTTTTTTTTTTTGAAAAGGCAGATATACAGAGAGAAAGGAAGATCTTTCACCCACTGATTCACTCCCCAAGCGGCTGCAACAGCCAGAGGCTACGCTGATCCAAGGCCAGGAGCCAGGAACCTCCTCCAAGTCTCACAGGTGCAGGGTCCCAAAACCTTGGACCATCCTCAACTGCTTTCCCAGGCTACAAACAGGGAGCTGGATGGAAAGTGGGGCCGCCGGGACATGAACCAGCATCCATATGGGATCCTAGTGTGTGCATGGCGAGGACTTTAGCCACTAGGCTATTGTGTTGGGCCCCTGGTCTTTAATCTTGAGACGTCTTAGGAGGCAGAGTCTGTGCTTTAATGTCCTTGTAAAATCTCAAGTCAGGTTTTGTTTTGGTTTTTTGTTGTTTTCGGACAGAGGCCGTGTCTTATCCAGAAACTTGGGCTGGCTTTAGGAAAGTGTTCCGGAAGCTAGGATGTGGACATCCCATGTTTTTTCACAGAGCCGAGCTGTGATCTTAGGAAACAACTTGTGTATTCTAGGCATTCCCTGGCTTGTTTTCTTCATGGTGTCTTTTTTCCCAAGAATATACGGATAAGGCACTGGCAGTGCTGTTTCCACAAGCCAGGGTGGGGTGGGCGGAGGGAGGAAGGTGTCTTGGCCTTCATTGGACCCACTAATTCAAGAGCTGTCAAACCAGTTTGTTTTCTTTCTCTTGATTGAAGAGGCAGAGAAACAGGCTGACAGAACTCCCATCTGCTGGTTCACTGTGCAAGACACAGCCCAGGAACTCTGCACAGTTCTCCTGTGCAAGTGGCAGGGACCCAAGTACTTGAGCCAAGATCTGCATTGGCAGGAAGCTGGAATTGGGAGCTGAGGACTGAAACCCAGGCCTTCCCATATGGGCATCCCTGGCTGGGCCCTAACTACCAGGCCGAACACCTTGCCCATCCAGTCAGTTTTTGCCTGAACAACTCTGTTCAGTAAGAACCCATTGGTCACCGGTAGTTTATGTGGGAGATATGGCCTTGGTTATAACTGAAAAAAAAGAAGCAAGGTTCCTAACAGTCTAGGTTATTATAGATTGTTTAAAAATTCATTTATTTAGTTTACTTGAGAGATACACAGGAGAGACCGAGATCTCCCACCTGCTGGGCCAATCAGAAGCCGAGAAGCAGAACTCTCCGCGTCTTCCTTGTGGATTCAAGCAGCATCCTCTGCTGCTTTCCCAGGCCCCTGGCAGGGTGTTACATGGGGAAGTGGCACATTCTCACGTGGAAGAAAGGGCACAGGTGCTTCCTCAGGTCCCTCTTAAATAGATCCCTTCGTGGGGATGCCCCCTCATGACATCATCGCCTCCCCAAAGCCTTAGTCCTCACAGCGTCCCACTGGGCATTAGCATTCCAACAGCTGGAGAGGGGAAGCACTCAGACCAGATCTACCTAGAGTCACGGCCCCAGCATGTTAGCGCCTTTCCTGTCCATCTTTTGCCTGCAGCTCCTCTACAGCACTGAGGTCTGTCAGCTTGCCCAAGGCTAAGAGCACTTGTGCTTGGTGATGTCAGAGGGTCAGTGGAAGAGAGGGGATGTCCCTTGGTCCTCTTGCTAAAATCTCCAGCTCTCCTGACACGGACACGGCCACGGCCAGTCACCCGGAAGGCTGGGGGGATGGGGAGACCATCTGGGCCAACCTCTCGCTTCTCTGTCAGGTTTGTGCACTTGAGCCCGGCTCCTCTTATCTGGACAGAATGGGCAGCCTCAGCTACAACCAGACTGCCCGACTTTAGCCTCCAGATACTGTGATCACTACACTCGTGGCTTTATGTATGAGGACACTTCAACGGTTTTGGAGAGTAGAATTAAAAACTATGCCTGGGGGCCCAGTGCAGTGGCATAGCAGGTTAATACTCTGCCTGAGGTGTTGGCATCTCATATGGGCACCGGTTCAAGTCCTGGCTACTCCACTTCCAATGCATCTCCTTGCTGCTAATGGCCTGGGAAAGCAGTGGCAGATGGCTCAAGTCCTTGGACCTCTGCACCTACATGGGAAACCCAGAAGAAGTTCCTGGTCCCAGCTCCAGCCTTTGCAGCCCTGTGGGGAGGGATCCAGCAGAGTTCCCTTTGCTCTCTATAACTCTTGCAAGTTAAATAAATAAACCCTAAAAAGAAGATAAGCTCATTGTGCTTTCAGAAGTTTTGGAATCCGTGTGGAGTTTCTGGCATCCAGGGATTTCAAAATATGTTTGCACCAAAACAAACTGGTCTTTAAATGCCATTCCCCATGAATCCAGCCTCAGTGCCCTGTTTGATGTGTTTAACAAATATTTATTCCAAGGTCTTCAGAATCCCTTTCAGAAGGGGCTCTCCTGAACACGCCCATCTCTGCCTGGAGCTGTTCCCCAGTGCCCCGGGGTCCTCCCCAGTCTCCACCCCCTGCCCTGCCCCTTCTCTCTGTCCTCCCCCTCCCTTGCTCACAGTTCTGTCCGGTGGGTTAATCCCCCGCCAACTGGAAGAATCCCTCATCTTCAGGAAGAAAGCTCAGTGAAGGCCGGGGTGTTAAGGGTGTTAAGGATGCTGTTGGGGCAGGGAACGGGGCTGGTGGCGCAGGACTCAGAGCACACACCGGCCTCGTTCCTGTTGGTCGTTCCTGTTCGTCGGAGTCAGAACCGCCCGTGGAAGTGAACGGCCGTGGCCCGGATTAGGGGTTGTGAGCGCTCCTGGGAAAAGCCCTCCGCGGTAAGCACCACTTCATCCCTCCAGTGGGCCAGAAACAAGAGAAGCTCTCGGGGACACCATCAGGTTTCATTGTTTTGGCCTTTGGTGCAGCTTCGTGTGAGATGGGAGACTTCCCTTGTGTGACAAATTGTGTGACACCTGGCCTTTGGGGAAATTCAGGGCCCCTGCCGCTACCCGCCGTGGCACGCTGGCCTGGCGATCCCATGCTGCTTCGTCCACAACAGTGGCCTGCTGGCTGCTTGCCACCCCACACTGTGGGGAGGCCTTCTCAGACATGGTCACAGGGTCAAGGGTCTTTCGGAGGGTCCTGGCTGTGTCATATCTCTTTCTCCGCTGCAGGTTCACCCCTTCATGTCTCAAATCTGGGAACTCAAGCTGAGCTTAGTGAGTTCTTGATTTTCACACACTGATATACACCAGGCTCTGGAACATGGATGCAAGGCTGAGAGGGTGGCTCAGTTTGCCAGCTCTGCCTGACCGGCCTGCTCAGCGTCATTAGTGCAGGCAGGAGAGCAGCTACTGCTTGGGAACACCCCTACCTGCCTGGGCCTGGCTCCAGGCAGACCATGATGACTGCTAGGGGTACCTGATGGTGCTCCTGGCGCCAGCGCCTTCCTGTTCTGCCAGCATGGGCCCTCAGAGAACCCTGGCTGGACCCCAAGCCATAGGTGGTATGCGCTCT